TGATCTACTATTCAGATTATTTACTGAATTTTTTTTATAAAATAAATTGTAAATAAAATGGATGATAGAAAAAAATAACTGTTATTGTAAATTCCGAAACGATCTTGCCTTAAAATTCTCGCTCTAATGTTATTTTTTAATTTATATTCGAGCACAAGTATATATATACAAAAAATATGAATTATGTAAATTCGGATTTGTTATTATTTTTACTATTATTATTATTACGGAGATTACATCGATTTGAATAATAATGCGAGAAAACGACTTTTAAGAGAGAAAATTTATATATATATATGAGAATAGTAGATGATGATGATGGTGAAACTGGATATTTATAAGGTTATGCAATTCGGTCCTCCTGAGGCAATCAATCATGACACGCGCACACGTATCTCCTGTGATCTGATTTAAATAATGAATTCAGTTTCATCTTACACGCTTATTTTTCTCTTCATATATATTTTTTTCTTTTGCATTCGTTTTCTTGATCATTTCCATCGTCTGCTACTGCTACTGCTGCTGCTACGTAGAGATACCTCCTTTTTATACGATCATCGCACAGAGGTCACTTTGAGCGATTTATTTACTTTAAGCAAAAGCACAAAGAGAATTGAAAAAATATAAATTTATGAAACATTAAACATATTTGGTTGTACTATAATTTATGTTTAGATATAAAAAATCTTTATAAATTCTATAATATTTGTTGCCATTTATGTAATTATGTAACTTTTATTGTAATGAGAGAAGAAAATAATAATATTTGTTTTGCTGATAAATATCACGATTTTTTCAATAATTGAATTTGATTTGCAATATTATATACTTTTATACTTTTTCAATTATAGTTACTAAAAAGTAACAATAAACGCAGACTACAATAAATAAAATTAAAATAATTAATAATGAAATCAAAAAAAAATTAGAAAAATATTATGACATTTTTTTGACATTTTCCATTAATCAAATTTGATCTCATTTTTAGATGAAATTTCAAGAGAATTTCGTTGGCTAATGAAATTTTAATTTACAAAAAATACAATTTGATTAAATGTAACTTTCATGTAAAGAAACAAGTCTTATTAAATTATAAAAGTAAGAGAAACTAATGTTAATCAATTTATTGTATTTTCTTTAATCAAGTATTTCTTTGTTTGAAATATCCGACAGATTTATGAAAACATACAATTGTAAAGTGATTTTTCAAAGAAACATCCGATGTCAATACAAGACATGTTGGCATTTTGATGCGGTGTTTCTGGAAATAGATTAAAAAGATTAAATTGTGTAGAAAGGAATAGCGTGGAAAGGTCGAATTACATTCGTCGGATATTGTACAGGGTGTTGCCATGGGGTTGAACGTTCATTAATTAAATATGGAACAACGTCCATCGACTCATGCATACCGGTATTTTGCTGCTGCTGTTCTGTTCGGAACTTTCGATTAAACGTTATTATGCTTTGAGACATGGAATTCAATAATAACAGTATGTCAGTTATGTGTCGATAAATTATTTCTCAACTAATATTCTTCGGGCGTAACCCGAAGGAAGGTTCACCCAGCGGATAGATTTAAGATATAGAAGAACAGAGGTTTATGGAAAAGAAAACATTGGAAATTGATTTTGCTTAAATTTATATTCAGTTAGAGGCAAACACTTTAACTATTAACCTGTCTTTAAGCTCATTTTGAGCAAAATTATTGCCAATAGATTATTTTGAATGTTTGCAAAGTTAAGTGTGATAAGCTTCTTATAAAATGTAATAAATATAAATTAAATACATCTGTACATTTACACACAAAATTACTTTTATCCAGTTTTAATATATGAATTATATTTTTTTAATTATTATCTGATTTAAATTTGGTTAAATAAAAAAACATACTGTATGTAACATAATTTATTTTTTTCAAACTATATACAATCGATTCCGCTTAATTGAGACACCGGTTACTAGGGACACCGCTTATTAAAGTCAAATCCTAAAGAACTGAACTTGGACCCCATGCACATGTATGCTGTACTTGAACCGCGCCTGATACATATTTAATGTTCCATAATGTCTAAATTACTCGAAAAACGATTGCTCAAAAGGATAAGACCTATATTGACTCAGGAAAATATAATACAGGATCAATTTGGATTCCGTAGAAAAAAACGCCACCATTGAACAAATCCATAGAGTAGCCAGCAAGATCAGACAATCACTGGAAGAAAAAAGCTTATGCACAGCAGCATTTTCAGATTTTACTTAGGCATTCGACAAAGTTTGTCGTAGAAGATCAAAAAATTATTGCCACACACGTTTTTCAACATAATTAAATTATTTTTTTGCGATTGACGGTTCAAAATTAGAATTGAAAATGAAGTAACGCTGTTATTTTCGATCAAATCAGGCGATTCACAGGGAAGTATACTGGGACCACTTCTTTACACTATTTATACATATGATTTACCTACAACTGCAAAAACTACAATTGCTGACATATGCTGATGACACAGCAAGTTTGGCATCAAATATAGACCCGATACTTACAACAAACGAACTTCAAAATTGCTTGAACGGAATTGAAAAATGGTTGATGAAATGGCGAATTCACACGATTGAAGCAAAATCGAGTCACGTAACATTTACACTAAACAAAGGAAACTGTCCTCCAGTTACTTTAAACAGTCATGTTATCCCAGAAGCTGATTATGCCAAATACCTGGGTATTTTTTTGGATCGCAGGTTCACATGGAATAAACACATAACAACTAAACATAAGCAACTAGGAATCAAATTTGCTAAATTATACTGGTTAATTGGGAGAAGATCGCAGCTATCACTAGAAAACAAGTTTTTAATATATAGGGCAGTTTTAAAACCGGTGTGGAGCTATGGTATACAGCTTTGACACAATTCAACGTTATCAATCAAAGTGTCTGCGTACCCTGGTATGTGCCTAACGACGTGATTCACAATGACCTCCAAATTAATACTGTGAAAAGTGAAATCTTTATATTTAGTGAACAATATCAAAAGCGGTTAGAAAAGCACCCCAATACACTAGCTATGTATTTATTAGACAATAATGGCAATCAGGTACATGGCAATTCCTCATTTTCTTACTTCCTCTAATATGGTTTTCCATTTGACCGCGTTGAAAGCATTTTTGATGTTCAACGTCAGTAAGGCGCAAAGCTTTCTGTTGCCTCTATTACCAGCTCTTACTTCTTTCGCTATGTTAATCACCGTTTGGATCGCGTCGATAGTGGACCTGCTCTGTCTGAAGCCGTATTGTCTTTCAGATAAACCTCCGAATCTGTCAATTTCCTCCTTGAGTTGTTTAGTTATTGGTTGTTCGAGCAATTTACCCATTGTGTCAATGAGGCACACTGGCCTAAACGACGGGTCTTTTCCGTTGTTTTGACGTTTACAGGCATCTTTGGAGAACAAGACAAAAATAAGTCCGTCGTCTATATCTTCAGTCGGAAACAGGGTTTCCGCTATTGACCAGGCTCTGTCTGCGGTCATGCCTGTCGTCGTGACTTTGGGATTCACCTTTCGTCTTAATATCTTATATACTTCGCCCCATGTATTGTTATCTACATCTTCATTCAATTTTCCAGCACTACCTCTACCTTTGCTGATAGCATCTTTTAGCCTATCTGCTCTGAGTTTATGCTCTTTTTCTTCATCGCGTTCTGAGTTGCTGCCTCTGATAAGATCGTCTCGCAGATTGGCAGCTTTGTCTTATATCTGATATATCAGCAGTCCACCAGTATAAGTGCTTCAGTTGACGAGCATTGGACTTTCTTTTTATCATAGTTGCATCGCACGCTTTTGTAACTGATTCCATGAGTTGGTCAACACTTGCCCTTTCGCTCAGCTTTTCTTGCAGAGATTGACAAAGTATATTCTCATTAAACTTTCGTAGAGCCCATCGCTGAACGTTTATTGTCGATAATTTCGAAAGAGATATATCATGGATTCTCTGTCGAGAACTCCCCATTTGTTTATTTTGGTGGCCATTCTAGTCGTGGCTAAATCCAAGATTGACAAAGCCTATGTTTGCAACCAGCAAGTCCAAGCTTACTGCCCATTCTGTCAGCATGACTCCTCTTGTGTCTGTTCGTGTCTCTCCCCATTCTGCGTGTTTTGCATTGAAGTCGCCTGTCACTACTGCGATCCTCCCTGTTCTCTTATTTCTCTTGACAGGTTTGACAGAACCTTGTCCTGTTTTTTGTACTGCAATGTTGTTGTTTAGTATCTTTATTGCTGCGTCTCCCGCGTCGTCTAAGAACCAGCATGTCTTCTTGAAGGCCTTGTTTGGCTCGCTAATTGCCAAGATATCGACCTTTTCATGTTTTGCAGTAGCGTACAATAAATCATGTGCTTCTCTGCTTCTGTTCGCATTGAGTTGTAGTATTTTACACACTGCGCCAGTTTTTCCGCTGTTTTTTATTTAACGCTCTACTATATTTGGGACAGCGTGTGCCGCTTGGCTGCAAAGCGGGAGTGCAAATTTGCTCTCTTTAGCTTTATGACCTTAGTCCTGTCTGTACCCGAGCAATTGCTGGCGCGATGTCCTATTTTGCAGTGGAAGAATATCTGCACGTTTTCTCACTCTGCAGTAGATCCACCCAATAGGTATGTGGCCGCTCTCCAACAGTTTCAAGTCAGCTTCTTGAGATAGCTCAGCCGTGGCTATTTGGTTCCCTTGGTAGGTTGGTCTGAAGGACTTCACGCTCCCGTGTTTCCCAGCCGCTTTCGTCAGTGCCTCTTAGACTACCTCTTTAGAAGTTGCTGCGTCAATGTCTTTTATATGCACGATGATCGTCTTCTGGAGAGTGCGTACTCTATCTTCTCTTTCCAGCCTCAGAGTCTCAGCTTTGCCAGTTCCCTTCTCTACCTTATCTTTCCTGCACTCTACCGCCTTCCTATGATCTGCCACCCTGTTTTCGTCCGCTTGTTCTTCTTTGCCGGTATTTTATGTTGTTCCATCGTGTATCACATCTTTTGCTTCTACGTGTGCGTTTGCATCTCCGCATCTTGCTGCACGCCGCCTGTCTGCAGGGTAGTAGTACTATCTCTAATTTGTTCTTTTGAGGTTAAGGCCTCGTTCATTTTGGCTACGATTTCTTTTATATCGTTTAACGTTCTAGCGAATTTTCTCATGTACCTCTTCAGCTATATTGTCCAGCGGATGTGCTCTTCCATGTTTCTAACTCCCGCATACCGGTCTATTTGCACGTTCCTTGTCGCTACGAACTTCCGAACCGAACTCTATTGGTTAACCCTAAAAAGTTATTACTAGTTGAATTCAAAATTCGGTAAAAACTTAAGTCGGATACCGAATCATTTTAATACATTTTTCATATGTTTTCATATGTTTTCATATGATAAGCGAGGATGACTTCCAATATTTTTTAAATTATACTGTGATAAACATAAATTATAATATTTATTGCTGTCTCATTCAAAATGTCTAGCCGTGTTACCACTGAAACTTGTGTTATTACTAGTCGCATGCATGTATTTGTACTCAATAGCGATTTGGCTGGTTTTCATTTCCGAACTTGTATATGACAATAGTTATTACACATTGATTTGTCGTGGAACCTTTCAAATGTGGAAAAGTACTGAGAAGTTACATAAATACATAACATATAACAAATATTAAAAATAAATGGTTCATATAATAATATAAACCATATTGTTTAATAACACTGTCTTGCCTCTTTACAATTAAGAAAGCGATTGCCGAGAAGAGGAAACTCCGACGCATATGGCAAAGTAGCAGACTACAGATCGACAAAACCATTCTCAACAAGGCAACGAAAGAGCTCAAATGCTGTGTAGGTACAGAAACCAGAAGTTCCAAGACTATGTCGAAAATCTGTCCGCAACACCTGCGACGGACTAGTCGCTGTGGAGAGCCATTAGGTGCATCAAGCGACCACAGACCCGGGTTCCACCGATACGGAAGACCGATGGCAGCTGGGCAAGGTGTAGCAGAGAGAGGGCGAACCTGTTCGCGGAACACTTTGCGAACGTGTTCCAACCCTTTCCGGACGAGACAACCGCTTACGAATCGGGTGAGATCAACGAATTATTGGACGCTCCGTTCCAGATGTCACTTCCTATAAAACCCGTACGATCATTCGAGGTGATGGATGTCATCGGGAACTTGAAACCGAGCAAGGACCCTGGCTACGACCTGATAACGGGAAGGGTAATGAAGGATCTATCCAGAAAGGCCATAGTGCTGCTGACGACCATCTTCAATTCCCTACTGAGAACGGGTTATTATTATCATCTCGACGCGTACCAAGGGTGGCTCAGGAAGTGGCAGATCAAAGTCAACGAAACCAAATCCAGCCATGTCACCTTCACCCTCAAAAAGGGAACCTGCCCCCCGGTCACACTGAACAACAAAATCATCCCACAGACAGACGATGCCAAATACTTGGGCTTGTTCTTGGATCATCGACTCACGTGGAAGAAGCACATCGCAACCAAAAGGAAGCAACTGGGCATCAAGTTCGCAAAACTGTACTGGCTGATCGGCAAAAGATCACCACTATCCCTCGACAACAAACTATTAATTTATAAAACAGTGCTAAAGCCGGTGTGAACGTACGGCATCCAGCTTTGGGGAACAGTGCCTGCAAACCCTGGTGCAAGACACCTGGTACGTGACGAACGACACGATACACAACGACCTCCACATGAACACTGTTAAGAGTGAAATCCTTATGTTCAGTGCCCGTTATCAAAACAGACTGGAAAACCACCCCAACAGTCTCGCGTTATCCCTCCTAGACAATAGTGACACCCCCCACAGACTAAAGAGACACAACACTTTCGACCTCCCCTTTAGAATCTAAAAGTTAGTTTTATAGTTATTAGAGTGAATATTTTTATTTAAATTTCATAGTGTCGTCGAAATCAATGTTTAATTGGGTTGTTATTGTCATCGAATAATTTCTTTTTAGTTACATTTATAATTGTTTATAGGAATATTTGCGATGGAAAATCGTTCCACTCCATGCTTGTTATTTTGTTTTTCTGTTTTTGTTTTCTTTTTTGTCAATGTCAAAAATCTGTTCAACGTGTTGCCAAAATTGTGGCAGATTGTGAATGATAAAAAAATAATAAAAAAAAATAATAATAATGCTGTTTTTATATTTAAAATTGTATGAATGTTAGATTTTTGTACACAGTTTAAATGATTGTTTGTTGTTGTATGTTTTTTGATGGAGTGTGGATGAAGTCTGTATTGTGATTATATAGTATTAGGTAGTTTTGCATGTTAAATGGAAGCGGACTATGCATGCTAGATGTGTCGGAAATAATTTCCTGTAGATCGGGAATATTAGGAACAAGTTGAGCAAGTCGTGGGCGGGTGTCACAAATCCCGCCATAAATAGCGCACATTGGCTGCTGCGGTAACTATTTATCAGCCGAATCTGTAGGTTTACTATTAGTATGCCTGGGCAGACCACGGTCCTCGGGAACGGAGATATACGGTCCAGATAACCTGCCGGAATAAATCCGGGGATTAAGCGTCGTGGCGCATGAAGTCCGCCGGCTTAGTGCAGAGGAGGACGACGCCCGAGCGTCGCGACGCCTCCGCCACCATCCGGTGCATTCCATCTACATCCCGTTTCCACACGAACACATCCGCAAACTAAAAGAAGCTACATACTTAGCGCATCCACCATTTCATGTATCTCCTAAAAACACCGATAAGTCAACAACATCTTTCATTGATTCATTACCACCTACGACTTTTTCTTATTAATGACTTACAATCACGACTGATTCTAGATAAACAGCATAAACGAATTCATTAAAAATCTATATGAAAAACATAATTGGTATCCCCGACTTACAAAACTCTAAAAGCTCTGAAGATATCTAGTGATAAAAAAAAATAACTGTACAAACAAAAATTGATAATTTCTTTTATAAAATATAATACTTTTAGAAAATGTACTATCTATTTTGTTGCATTTCTTTTATCGTTTTTTATTAAATAATTGTGATGTCTACATTGAAAAATATTTGTAAGTATTTTGTTTATTTTAATTCATTTTTCGAATGTATGCAGTAATATTTAATTAAGAATAACCCTTACCGAACTAGTTATAAAATTTTGTTGGTATTTCATTAATATATGACTCCAGGTGATTTCAAACTTGTTCAAAATATCGAATATTGGTATTGAAGTGAAGTCATGAAATATCTATATTAAAATAACAAAAATATAATTGACCCGGCGCATCCAGTATTTATGAAAATCCCTATTACAGCACTATCATTATATCCCTAATATCAAACTCTACCTAACTGACTTTTGCAAATCAATAACTTGCGATCATACACGATTAAAGATAAATATGTGATAATTAATTACTCTTATGTGAGCTAGATGAATAAGCGGTGCGAGAACTAGGAATGCGGTGGACGTCCTAGACCGGCGACCGCAATGAATCCCAATTAGCCCAGTCATAAACTATAAGCTTAAG